CACCGGCTGGGAGCGACAACAACAACAAAAACCAACATCTCGGGCTTTTTGGCGTCCCAGCAGCCAGGGACCGGGCGCGACCTCCGCCGCCGCGCCGCCCCGCGCTGGGCCTTTGCCGAGCCTGAGGCCGGAGGTGCGCGGCTCAGGCCTTTCGCATCCTCTTTATTGACCCACAGCTTCCAAAGTAAACGGCGTTTAAACTTCATAATTTAATTCGATTCATTAACATCTGCATTACAAAGCAGAATTTTACAACTCTATCGTATTCATATAACACAGTATACTCGTACTCTTTCGACGGCTGCCTCTGTCACAGCGTTTGCGGCTCCTTCCCTTCGGCGAAGGAAGGATCGCTTCAGGTTCGGCCCTAATAACAAAAGTTAACTCATTCGGAAAAGGTCACTCTGAATTATGCAGTAAGGATGACGATTGTGCTGGGATTAAGAAAACAAAACAGAACACCACACTAAGCTACTGAGCTTTAAATTTACGTTTTGTTCACCTAGCCATTCACCTGGCTTATTAAAAATAAAAATCCAATTTGCAAATTTTTATGTGGTAAGGCTTACTTCCGAATACAGTGTTTTGCTGTGCCAGATCAGAATAATGTCCCAGCTGGAAGGGAGAAGTTCATCTGTAATGAGGCAACATGTTGGTGGAAATTACTGCATGTGCTTTTCCTTAGAATCAGATGCACGTTCCTGTTAACGGGAAAGCACTGGTAAAAATGCAGAAACACAAAGTTAGTAGTACATGCATTTTGAATACTTCCCTTTTCTGGATGTGCATAATGCAGAGCTAGCAGATTTAAATGAACAGAGTGATAATTTAACCGTCTGATCTGTTAAAATCAAGAAAGACAGCGTCACTATAACAAAGGTCAACTATCAGCCAAACAGGTTTATACAAGGTGAGTGAGGTCTCATTATCTGAGCTATCTCTGTGGCACTTACAAAGCCTGAATCAAGAAGGAAGGGAGGGGACAGCATACCTTATTTTAGCATGCTTTCTCACTCATCTATACTCTATGCCCTTATCACATCATCCTCACACAACACGCAGCTAGGCCAATTTAGACAGGGCGAAAGCGAAATGCGCAGATAGTGCAGTCATCCACGGTAATCGAGATATGAAACCTAAGGGTTTTGCTTTCTGCGTATCAGTGCCTACGTTCACTCAACAAGTTGCACCAACACCTCTCCACGCATCACAGCTTCCCACAGCACCAGCCTGGGGGACTTCCCTGAGCCCAACTGGCCACCAAAATAGCTTTGGCTCCTTCACTTTCACAGCAGCCAAGAGAAGTGTGTGGAGCTGAGCTGCCAGGCCTTCTCCACACTGGGGGTCCACGCTCCTCCTCCCTCCACGCGCAGCCCCACAGTGCAGTTGGGCTGCCCAGCATCTTGTGCCACCCTGTCTGAACCCAGCAAACACCTTTCAAGTGCAAATGAAGACATTGATTTCCTACCAGTCAAAGAGCAAGGGAGCAAAAAGTGAAAGGTTCAAACGAAGCAACTTTCTGGTATTTGGTGGCATCTGCAAAGCCACCTGCAGGTTTTGCGTTCGGTTGCCATGACATTTCTGCAGAATGCACACCACCTGCCTGCGGACAAGCTCCACTGACACTGTGTAACGCCACCCTGATTAACTTTCTCCCCAGAGATCTCAGCCAAGCAACCCACTTTGCCACTTCCTAAGAAGCAGTGAGTCACTGAAGAGACAAGAGGGGTGTTTCTGCAAGGCAGGAAGAGGAAAGCTTTGATAAGATACAAGGGCACCGCCACTGCAGAGACCACAAGATTAGTTTTAGTACAGGAAGAGTCAGAATAGTAGTTCTTTGAAATAAGGCATTTAAATGTTTTTCTCCAGGGAAAGTACCAGTTTATCTGGATTGCTATTTGCACAACAGCTCAGACTGGCCTTGAAGTAAGAACTAGAGCAAACACTTTTATGTGAATTTCCTCAGGTCTCTCACAACCTACAGATAATATGAATAGGAAGCCAAAGTGGGACATTAAGCTTAATTTTCTCCAGTGTATATCATTCACAGGAAGACAGTCACTGTTAACCCTCTTAGCAGCAACATCACTTTTCACCTCAGGACACTTAAGACACCTGTAAATCCCAATTAGGTTCAGATGTAACACTACCTTAGTGGAGCTGAAAAACAAAACATGGAGGTACCTGAAGAGCCCTATTTTCATGAGTCTACAGCATTGCAGGATGAAGGTCTTTGGTATCATTACAACTTAACAGGAGGATAAACGCACTTGATTTCTGAACGGTAGTTTCATCTGGATGGTCGAGAACTGTCCAGCACAGGCCACATATGCAAGCTGCTGTATGTTCAACACAACATGCAGCTATTACACCTGCAGCCAAAAGCATAAGCAGTTCCCAGGCAGCAGGAGGGAGCATGAGAGAGGATTGCTTTTTTTCATCTAAGGTTTGCAGATTGCTGCTTCTAGTCCAATCTCACAAGAGTGAAATCCACAGCCCTGAGATCAGTGAGACAAAGTCCAACGTGTCTACAGAAGTTCAGTGCTCTCTGAGGGGTCGCTCCGGCTCTTCCAGTTGCCTCTTCTTGAATCTAGAAGTGAATAACCAGGATTGCCAGGAGGAGCGGCAGGATTCCTACAAGAATAAAATAAAATAAATCAGTTTTCACTCCAAATATGTTTGTTTATTTTTCCCCTCCCCACTCCCAGATGTATAGTATCTTTAGCATTTCTTCCTCTTTTCAAAGAAGGATCACAAAGCAACAAAAATATCAACATGACAACAGCTTGCAGTGGAAAGCTCATAAGCCTGTTCCAGGTTTAAGCAGAACGCATACAATTGCTTAAAAGACAACTTAACAATAGGGCAGATGGTGTGGTTAGGAGTGACCTCAGAGAACAACGTCATGCTATTAACATGTTAATGCTCACAGCACAGCAGCCAACACTTTTTGCTGCTTCAGCTACAGGCACCATGGCTAGCAAGAGAGGAAGCCCAGACAGCTTGGAGAGCAGCCACTCACGCTGCTATGGCCAGTGCTTGCAGGCACGAAGATACACATTTACTGCTAGCGCTGGGCAGCACAACAGACCAGTGCTTACACATGCACGAGATTCAGAAATTTTTATTACTTACCAGTAATGATCTTGTCAGCTGTGCCTGGAAAAGAAGGGAGCAAAAATGTGAAACTGAACACCCATTAAGCACAAGAGTTCAAACCATACAACGTTCAGTGTCTCAAATCAAAGCCAATGCCCATTAAACTCCCACATGAAACAGCACAAAGAATGGGACCCGTGTAACCCAAGGCTCCAGATGTTCAATGGATGAATACATTTCCACTAGTCTGCAGCTCTATGCAGCAACCTAATCATGCGCTTTTGGCACTAGATTTCAATACAAGCTGTTTCAGGAAGTTTTGAAGGCCTATTCCTTAACTGAAGTATCTGATTTGAGGATTCACGGAGGAAGCAAAAAATAGGTTTTCCAAGAGAGAAAGGAGACAGCAAGACAGACCGAGGAGATAGTCACCTTTGCATTCAGGAGTAGGCTTGCTCCAGACTCCATGAGATTGATTTTCTACTGTACAGTGAATAGAGGCCTCTCCAGTAAGGGTGAAGCCATCACTGCATTTATAGACTACAACAGAGCCATAAACAAAGTCGCTTCCTGTTGTGCCATTGTGTATTCCATTGTTAATAACAGGTGGTGGTCCACAGAGAACATCAGGCGGCTGTCCTACAGGAGAAACATCACCAAGAGTGTCTGATCACTTTCCTAACTGAAAATGTATGTCAGATGTGTGAAAAGAAGAAGATATAGCCAACTGACATGCACCTAGAAACATCTGAAAATACTTCTAGCTTTCTTGCTTAATACTGGACCTCAGTGACTGCCCATGAGCCACAACTCCAGGATACCACTCGATGAAATAAGCCACTGAAGTGCCTAATCAGACTAAAAGAAACATTTCAGCCATCCCTAGGCTTTAGTCCTGAAACACTGAGCAAGATGCCTGAATTCCCAGACACAAGCCAAAATATTCCTCGTCACAGTAACTGGCCTAGACAAGCACGCTGGAGGTATCCTGTCTGACTGAAGATTAGAAGAAAAGCGCAATGCAACTGCGTAAGCTAGGAAAACTTATAGTAATTTAAACGCATAGACAGCTTTAAGAGCCAAGACTGACTTACAAGACACGTTAAGATAACTATACCAGTAGTGATCCGCTGACTCCTCTTGAAGTGAGGAACGGTGGCGGGGGTAGTCAGAGACATGGGGCTACAGCTAACAATGCCACACAAGGGATCAGGCAACTAGAGAAGTTTAGAATTGAAGGGGCCGCAAGATCACAGTGTTTAAACTTCTGCAATGAGGCACAGACCATCCCCAAGTGCTCTTAAAAAACAATAGCGAAGACAATTCCATAATATCCCTTAACTCTCAGCCTTGCCCAACGCTGTGCACTACTCAGTTTCAGCACTATACCAAATTAAGTAGACAGAGTTCTAACATCAAATTTAAGCTCAATTTATTTTCATCTTTCCCTGGTAACTACAGAGAAAGATAAGTTTCTTCTACTTATAAATGGGATCATAATTTTCCTACCTCCTCAGTTTCTGGGGTTTCTTCATGAAGAAGACAACCCTGCTTTGTATTGCTCTCTCCCAGCCACCTCCAGTTTGTCAGCATGATTTTTGAATTGCACAAGAATATTCCAGCTAAGGCCTCAGAGCACAAGGTAATATTGGAATCTTGAATTTTACAGCAGCTTGAAGCACAAGTAAGAGCAGATCAAGCCCCTCGAGCAAGGCTGCTACACCACAACAGCTCCAACTGTTATCTTTATGGCTTTGGACACAGTTCCTCTTACTTTCACAGTATGGAAGTGCTGTATTCCAGTCAACTTCATTTCCTGCAATCACACATTTGGCAGAAGATGACCCCTTTAATTCATACCTAAAGAAAGAGAGAATTTTCAGAAAACCACCCAGAAACAGTTCTTCACCTTCCTCCCCCACCATTGCATGGATATAAGAACAGAAGTTGTTCCTGTTGTGAAATGCGATCTGGACACATCAAAAGCTACTGTAAACTAGCAAATAAGGGCTGCCCTGGCCTGACAAATAGGGAAGGGTATAAACTTTCAGAAGCTTTAGCGGGAGGGAACCCTCACCTGTGTCTTAGCAAGAGGCACAGGAATAACTCCCAATCTAGGAGAGAGGGAACCACTGGTCCTTTTCTTTGTAAGGGATTGAAATGCATTCATTTATACCCCCAGCCCTGTAACAGTTTCCTGGGTTTCTGCTGAAATTTATCTCAAGGTCTGGTGACCTACCATAGCTCAGTAGAGCTGTATCTCACCCATGCTTCCAGTACGTAGTTGGAACATAGAGCTGAAGTGAAGCAGTTCGTTGTCTTACTAACCACGCACAAGTTGCCACATGCTTATCTCACTGAAGACATAACACAGTTTTACTGGGGACTCACACTGGGAAACCGGTGGGTGGTGGGGACTGGTGGATGCATTGCCTATCTGTGAAGCACATCCAGATCATTGCTCCTGACCCTCAGCTTCAGTCCCTTTTAAGTAGTGATCCACTCACCCAGCATCACAGGTGAACTTCACTGTTGTCTCAAACTGGAAATTGTCTTCTATTACTTTCCCATTCTTTATTTGGGGAGGAGAACATTGCTTTCCTAGAGGAAAAGAAATTGGTATGGGAATTACTTCATTTGTCTTCAAAGAGTGATGCCAAATGATAGCTCTTAACCAGACTTAAGATGATCAAGACCAAGACCTCACACAGGCTTGCAACTGTGCCAAAACTCAGCTGTGCTGAGAGACGCCTGGAAAGGACTCTGCCACCTCTCCTCAGCAGAGGCACGAAGCTCAAGCCTGTGCTTTAGCATAACAAGTCACTGGATTCAGTCCCAATCAGAGCAGAGAAAGGGTGTCAACCTGTACCAGGTACAGCATGGCCTGCTTTCAGCAAAGCGCATGCCTTTAAAAGGTAGGTTCTTAAACCGATAAGCCAGAGGGCTAGAGCTAAATAAGACTGCTAGCACAAAGCAAATATGTAGTACAACATATACAAGCGGATATCACTCTGCATCAGTCTTTAGCTATTCCAATACTTCAGGAGTTTTTTTTGATACGTGTACTAGGTGTCTTGGTAAGAGCAATTTTGTCTTCATTGCCAAGAACAGCACAAAGTTTTTGCAGACCTTTGTTATGTTAGAACTGCACTACTCAATACTAGCTTTATTATCAGTAAATCAGTCTCAGTGTAGCAATATTGCATGTTATTAGCTCAGTGTTTATCCCTTGTTAACAGTGATTACAATCTAAGCTAATTTTATTGCCGCAGTTATGCTCTGTAAGTCAAATGGGAAGGGCTATGAACAGGAACCAGCAAGAAATACAAAGCTCTATGGCACAGTCTCACCAATACCTCTGACTGTCCTCAGAACATGCATGGCTAAAAATAAAGAGAAAAAAAACTGATCCACAATTATACTCAACTGCAGTTGCTTCTCCAACGATCTCTTAGTACACACACATGGAGAGCGTCATCTGAATTATGAGGTCTTAGAGGCAGAACTAAGCTGTTCTTTAGTTTGTGCAGGTAACAAAGCACATGACCTCTACACATATGATATATGTGCTCTTAAAGGCATGCAGACCTTGTTCTAAGTTAATCAGAGCAGACCAAAATGCTAGATTTACCCCCATACACTTTAAAGAGTTCAGCAAGAAACTTCCAGGTGTGTCTGCACAGAGATGGGCATGAACAGAATTTCAGAATAATTAACATCTGAAGTATGTAAAGGTCACTAGTATAGTCAGTCAAGATAGGAGAGGAACAGAAATACTCACGTATACAGAACTCAGAGTCTGCAGACCAAGTTGCATTCATCAGACAAGTAACAACAGGAGACTTTCCACTTGCTGCAGTATAACCTGGTTTACACTTGTAAGTCAACTCAGTTCCAGCAGGATACTGGCTGCTCACAGCGTCAAATTTGGCAAAAGTGAAGCTTGGAGGAGGACCACAGTAACCTAGCGATTGGAGGCAAAGGCAAAGTTATCTACAGAAGAGTACCCAAAGGGTCTCCAATAACAACAGTAAACTGCCTGTTTGGGAGCGCACATCATTTTAACCGTTTTAGTTTTCAGTGTTCTGGATCCGGTTTGAATTTAGCCCATTTAGTGAACAGCAGCACGTATCACAGTTTGCTTAACTGGAGAAAAGATTCAGATGGAAGAGAATCTCTGCTTCTGAGATGCTGCTTCACTTAACACCAGCCCAGTCTGAAGGACCTGGTTTCAGCTGAGCCCAGCATCCCAAACAGATCTGAAAACTGGTGAAGCAAGAGAAAGCAGTTTCACCTCTCCTTTCAATACACTTTTGGACCACTTGCAGTTCACAAATAGCTTCACATCTAAATATATAACTGGCCTGGGCTGCCACCACTAGGACTCTTAACCTCGCACATGCCCCAGGGGCTTCCAACACATGGCTACAACCGCATGAGGTTTGGAAGCCGATCTACGGAACGGGCTTATATGCTTATACTTACGTGGGTCACAAGTTGGCGGAGATGGCTTCCACATACCGTTGGCTTCACAAGTAATGACACTACTACCGCTCAAAACATGACCAGATTTGCACTGAAAAATGACTGTTTCTTTGTATGTGTACTCAGTGTTGAAACCAGACACCTTCTCCCCATTTTTCACTTCTGGATTTTCACATCTGACCACTGGAAGCAAATATAAGCCAATAAGATTATTTGTTACAGGAAGCAAAGGCCCAGCAGCGTCACCAGAAGCTTTACGTGAGAAACGGTTATTATCAGAATTGCTGTCCTTTCGCTCTGTGAGAGGCGGGTCCTTCATGCAGTGCAGAACCAAGCACATCACTAAGAAACGGCACAGATCAGAGCTTCAGTCGTAGGAAGCCCTGGCCATAGGCAGGGGAAGAGCCACTTTTCAAGAACTTTTGAGAACTGCAACCTCCTGAACAACTAAATCATTTTCATTTACACTTCCTAGAATACCAAAAGGAAAATAAGTCTGGTCGCTGCTATGGGAACTGTGCGGAACCGTGCTGCTACTGGAGTAGCGCCTCAGTCATTTCGCACCAGTTGTGGTCTCCAGCCTGCCTGTGGTCATCTGCTTGGTTGTCTCCATTCTGCAATGCAATGTTGTCTATTCTAGATCAATCTAGATTATAGCAGTGCCTTTCCATGGGCTGAAGAATCTGTTGAACCAAGCCCTGCCTCTGACCATGACTTGGGAGATCACTGCATTAAGCTTTCTGGGAATCATTTAAAACTCAAATCAACCTTCTCATGTTTACCCACTCTTCTGGAAAGTACGGTTTCACATGGAGGAGGAGAGAGAAATGAAATCAAAAGAAAAAGGAGAGAGAGAAAACTTTTACCTTTGCATTCAGGGGCTGGAGCACTCCATCTTCCATTCATTTCATTATCTGCTGTACAGTGGATCGTGGACTCTCCGATGAGGGAAAAGCCACGGTCACAGCTGTAAGTTACAGTTGAGCCAAAGATAAAGTCTTCACTCTCAGCATTGAGCTGTCCATTTGCGATCGCAGGTGGTGGTGGACAAGGAATTACTGTGGGGGAAAAACAGCAGCAGGAAAATGCAAGAACATTTCCATTAAATATGGAACTGAAGTCTATCTGCTAGAAAGGTATTAATAAAAGCCAAAGAAAAAACAGGGAACCAGGCTTAAAGCAAACATTTCAAATTAGAAGTCTTAAATGAGCCTTCAAATTCTGAATGCTTTCCACCTTTTAAAATGGGTAAATGGTATAACAGCAAAACAGCATCCATTGCCCTAGAGAAGGGTCTCCTGGAGGCAATAAATGTAGTCTAGCTGAGCAATCAGGCACCCTCAGCTATCTTTGACGGGGTTTCTTGCCTTTGCTATCAGCAGCTGATGGATGGATCCATCCCACAAGACTCCAAACGGCACCATACAGCATCAACAGAACTCTTGGGAGTAATTTCTCTTTCTGAAAACTCAGATTTTGAAGGCAAAGGCATGTCTGAAGGCATTCCAGTCCTTATCAAGCACTGCCCTTGAAAAGCATTTCAGCAACAATTGCCTATGAGAAATGCAACACAAGTAATCCAGCCTCCACACCAGCCTGGCAGCTACAGTGCATGGAGTCAGGAAGCCTGTCACACGGCCATGCTAGCTGATACCAGCCAACAGCCTCAGAAGTTGCTTCTCTTGCAGATCAGTCCATAGGAGCTGCTGCCAACATCCACGGATCCTCCTGGGCGTTTTCATTCCCATTTCCACTGGGAATGTTTGGGGAAGAAGTAAGGAGACAGTCTCATTGGAGATTACTATAACTTTGATCAAGGGCCAGAAGAGAGAATCTATCTGCCTTTCCCCAAACTACTGGTTATATTGTAGCAGCCTCAAGGAAGAGGTGTACACAAAGCATTTAAGATCCTCCTACTTTCACAGTGTGGAAGCTGATTCCAAGACACATCATTGCCTTGAAGTACACATTCTGCAGATGAATCCCCAATTAGTCGGTACCTAAGGAAAGAAAAGATTGAATCTCTTTAAAAAAGAAAAGAGTGAAAAAACATGGGAAATTAAAAAAAATTTTATCGTTTCCAATAGCATTCTCTAGAGGAGCTGAATCTGAAGAAAAACAGCCCTCCGCTAAAATACAATTTGCTCAATACCCGGAGAAATGCAATATGATGTAGTGATAAGATGCTTAATACTTGTGGTGGGGAGGTACCAGCTTGGAGAAGCTTTAGCAAGGCAGCATCCTCACCCTGAGCCTGTATAGTCCTGAGACGGAGGAACGCTGCTTTTTCAGAAGGGGGAACTTCACTCCCTTCCCTGAAAAACAGTTGCATTTCTTAAGGGAGAAATTTTCACAAGGATTTCAAAGTGTTATTTTTTAAACTGTGGTCCACTGATAGCATCATAACCGCAAAGGCTTTAAGTTTGCAGCGTACAAATTTGTATCTTGCTTCACATTTTCCGCAGACAAGAAATCCAATTAATTATAAGCTAGGCACTCAAGCCCTTAACAGTTCCTGTGCTGTGCAGTGGTAGACCCATATAGAAATTTATTTTCTGAAGAGAGCTGAGTGTCACTGACTTGCCTTAAGCTGTTCTTCTCCTCCTGCATTTCCAGGACACCAAAGCTCCCTTTTCCCAAGAGCCCTTATCTAAGGTGCTGGCAGCCGAATCCATCGCACAACAGCAAATGCACTTGCTGGACACCCACTGCTTCTTGGATATAAAATGCATTAAGCATTAAGTATCTTGCAGGAACCAGCTTAAATGCTGAATTACTAAATAGAACCAACAGGAACAAAGAAAATTTTTGTGAAGAAGTTGACAACAGTTTGCAAAGAACAGGCTCTTGCACCCAGAAGATAACTTGTCCTGAGAGCAGCAACAGGAGAGCCTGATCCCCGTGGTGCCCTGAACACCTCCTCTCATTCCTGTGCTTTCCAAGGAAGCAGCTCCAAGATATTAAAAAGCCTCTGAGTCTCCAGCTCCTGCAGGTGCTGCCTCACTGCCTGAGCTCTATCGACTAGCCCAGAAACCCAGGCAGACGCTTACCCTTCGTTACAGGTGAATTTTATTACTGCTCCAAATCGGAGATCGGTTGTGTAATCAAATTTGCCATTCGCTATATCTGGTGGACTGCACGGTTTTCCTGCAAAGGCAAATGACCATCATTAGCTTTATTTTATGCCATTACGACGAAGCGCAGGTTACACTACTGTTTAGTGTTGTTACAGATTCCTCAGGTGCCTGCCTTTCCTCGCTGGCAACTACGAGCCCTTTTGGAAAAGGTTAACATTCACATTTAAGTTCAAGAATCTGAAAGTCAAATACAGCTAAGGGCAATAAAGGAGCAAAGCTTTACAGAGATTTACATACTTACTGAGACAGCAACTGCAAGAGACCCAGAGACCTCAGACAGAGGTCCTTGTCTACAGCAAAAGGAGGGGAGAGATACCCCCCCGACCGCCTGCGGACCAGTATGGGCCCGTTACCATGGGGCGACCGATAGCACTGGACCCCGCAGCCGATTCCACACCTTACCTTGCTTCTGTCCAAGCACATGGCAGCACTTACTCTACCACAGCGCTTAGTCTGCGTCACCGGATGGTAAAGTCCACCGGTAACTAAAGGGAACAGAGATCACTTCCCAGGGATAAGGACTGCTAAGCAGGAAACGTAGCCACACATGGACACGCAGGGTAAGCGTTTGCTCAGCGGTCCTAGGAAGAGCAACCTGGGGAGCATTTCCCTACCCTGCGCCAAACCCCAGCGGGGGCCAGGGCGCAGCAGGGGACGTGCCCCGGGGCAGCCGCGAGCCCGACGCGGGAACCCACCGATGCAGAAATCGCTGCTTGCACTCCAGCTGGAGTTTGAGCGGCAGG